AATACAATATAGCAACAACAACATTCAGAAAGGAGAGAACTTAGTCTTGCCTCTGAGCCATTCCTGTGACATTGTTACTGGCCGCAGAAGATAATACAATAAAAATATTGCGGAAACAGTTCATGAATCATGACACATACTCATTAATATACATACATGAAGTTGTCAATAATAGAATTGTACTATATCATAATGTGCATAACGAGTATCACTTTCTACTTACATATACTAGTATGTATATAACAAAGTACATTTTCTAAATTTTGTTGCTAGTAAGTAGTAACCTACACTCTCACGGTACACATAATAAGGCATATGTAAAATAATAATAATAATAATGTGTGTTTCCTACCTTCCATCTTGCAACCCTGGTGTGTCTATAAAACCTGTTGTCAAAGAAAATATTATTACAGTATGATATTTTTGTTGTTGGAAATGCATTTATAGCTAACTAAAATCTATTTTTTCCTGGAAAGATGTAAATGTAGTACTAGTAAATTGCACCTTTGCCTTGTTTTGCAATTTTGTGTGAGTGTGTGCAGTAAAAAAGATATGCTACCGTACGGTATACTACAATGTATATAGTATAGTAAACCATCTTTGATGAAATTGAAATCCATGAAAACAGAAGAACAAGCTATTTCTCTGATATTGCTTACCCGGTAAGTTTGGCAAAAAATTGCTGAGAGGCTCCTTGACTTTCTTGCCACAGAACTTGTGGAATGAGTGCTCCAGGCCGTGGTGCTGGATCAGGTTTACACTGCCCGTGATGTCTACTGCAGCTGACAGCAAGATAACAACATTTCATGGGGTTGTTCCATTATAGCAAAACAAATAGGGCCGGACAAACCCCTCGGGCTCAACTCCCCCGTAGCGGTAATTTAGATAGGCGGGTGAAGGGCTCTTGGCTGCCGAAGGAAAACGGCTAACGGCCCGATACTAGTTTTGGCATCCAGGGTACAAAACACATTGTACTCCATAACACTTAAGATTTTGCTTATTGGGTTCAACAACTTTTAGGTCAGTCATCCTGAAAAATGAGGTATTTGGGATAGAAGTCATGAAACTGTGAGCTCTCATTGAGTCTCAACGAATTTGGGCTAAGACAAGTGCAATGAGATTTTCTTTAAATTTTTACATTTTCATTACACTACGAACATTTGCTTCCCATTGTATCACTATACTACAATGACCTTAAAGATATTGGAGACTCTATTTCAACACGAAATATATGAGTCACAAATTTATGAATTTATGGTACCTTGTGCACCAGGTGACACATGATGAGGCCCACCTGGTCTGGGGATGCCTGAAAATAACAAATAGTTCATAATATGGTAACAGAAGCATAGCAATATTTACCAATCTGCTATACAGCATAGGGAAATACAGCCATATCTATAAGTATAACAAGTAAACAAATTTGATGTATATTAGGTACCGTTTCAAACATACAAAAATGGTTAGAAATATCGCATAACAGTTACATATTCACCGATATTAGACTGTAAATCAGATTGTACCACAATTTGAAAAATATATATATTTGGTTTACAGCGATTAATATGAGACATAGCTTGCTTTTGTCACTTTCCATTTCCAGAATTTCGGTCGAAGCATAAATTATGTTACGTTTACATACCTGGCATATCTTTTAGGAGGTAGAACGCCGAATCTTCGTGAGTTGCCTGGCCATTCTGGGTGACTGGCGGTTCTCCGTCTGTTCTGTGAGGCAGGGGTTCTGTTTGTTGGTTATAGTTTTGTGAAATAGCGCCACTAGAGGGCGGATTTTGTGGCAAATACATGTCCATATTGCCGTAATTCCATCTTTCGTCGCCCGCCATTTTGAAACAGGCGATACCATTCAGGAGGGAGGTTACAAAGTGAATATTAATCACATAAATAACTTCGGCTCCGAAATACATCAAATAAAGACAATTATGAAATTTTAGGTAATGTAGACATAATTATATCATTTACACTTTCCAAGAAGTGATGCCTTGTGGTATTACGTCCTAGCTTTCAAATATATTATACCTATGTCGCTTGTAGCAGTCCAAAAGCTTGACAGCTGGTATAATGTAGCGCCTAATTCGACGCAAATCTGACGTTACCCACTGAATCAAAAATTCATCCATCTCTTAATTATTTATTGCCATATATTAATTAAATTTACATATTAAAAATTTATCACAGGAAAAGTTTTACACTTTGAAATCTTTTGGTGTTTTGTATACCTGGAATTTATGTGAAATAGTGCAATGTCGAATGAGCACTAGAATCAGCGACTAAACTTTCCAAGAACTCAGGGGAAAAGAGAGCGTGGTTCGAGAAAGTTTATGAAAGATTTTCCTCCTCTTCGTTTACTTTACTTTCCATAATCTGGTCCCAGAATGGCAGAGAGAGCCCCCATTCCAGCCGAGGAGTACGAAAGACAGTGTGGCCAGACAAATGATTCTTCCAGCGAGTTTGAAAGCTGTGCAGAAGATGCTGTGAGTTTTGCATGTTTATTTGTTTAGGTGAAATCTGTTTGTGTTTTTGTTTGGCGTGGCCTTTCTTTCTTGGAAATGCTTTCTTTTGTGTTCTTCCATTCTTCTCTTTCCCTTTGTGTGCTTTTAACATTTCATAATTTCCAATTTCCTCTTCCCTAACGAAGTCATCCCTGCCGCTATGGAGCTTTTGTTTTTGCTGACGCCACAGGGGCGGAGCCTTTTCAACCATGTTCTTCAACTTCAAGCGTGTAATGTTGGGTTTCACACACTATTCAATTCTTTTTAATATTATGTTTCTAATTTCTCTGTTTCAGTCTTTGTGATGTTGTTTTCTGTCTTCTCTCTTTTTTGTTACCTTTTGTTCACTTTTTTTAAGTTCTGTATTTTTTTTTACCAAAAAATATTTGATTACAGTTTTAGTTGTTGTTTATCCCTTCCAACCTTTTTTTAACATAATAGGGCTTCTCTGGTGATGATGCCCCTACCACCCGCCTGGTGTCAGGCCTGAACCTGAAGGAGGTGTGTGACACAACAGGACAGGGTGCAGAGTTTGAGGTGGAGTCACAGCTTCAGATGGAAGAAGGTAATGTGCATTTTTGGCAATGCTATGGGAGCAAAACATTTGTTTACACCTTGTCCTCTTGTAAAAGTTTTGCCCTGTTAATTATTTCTTTTAAAGCAAATATTTTATCTGCAAACAGCTCTGACAAAAGTTTGAGACTGGGGTCGTCATGAAATGAATACATTTTAACGTGATATTATATTTTATGAAAACATATAACATTATAACAACACAGTTACTTAAATCTTCAACCTACTAAGGTAGCCAGATTTGTATCAGTTATGGGATCAATAGCAGCAAGAAAATTTGTCAGAGATGTTCCTTTATTTCCCAGCTGCCCTGGATAACAGGTACTTTGATGCTGAGGACGTGTTTCAGCAGCTCAGCAGAGCTCCACTTGATGATGAAAGTGAAGACTCCTCCACTGAGGACTTAGACATGGTCTGACTTAAAAACTTCTTTTCTAGACATATTGACAATGTCACATAAGTAACGTTACATGTACTGTAGTATCTAGACCAGACTTTTAGTAATAATAAATTAGACAGGAAAAATAGTGGCTGAATATTATCATATATATGTGTATGTGTTAGTCAATAAAATTTTGTGTAAAAGACAAAATTTAGAAGTTGTGATGGAAAAGTTTTGAGCTGCACATAACAAAAGTGTATGGTACATATAATGTTTTGTACAAAGTATGTAGAACCCAAGTACCAGGGTTCTCGCCAGCGCATTTGAGCGTCGGGGGCCCCGACGCTGTGAATTTTTACCCCGACGCTGTGACTTTGCCCCCGACGCTGTGGTGCTGCCAGCGTCGGGGGGATTTTGTGTTGTTTTTTCCCTTTTCAATCTGTCCTGTAGTAATAGTACTTGATTTGAATTTGAAAAAAAATTGTCTTTGCTCTTGTCACAAGGAACACCTCAGACAATAGAGAACAATGAATGTAAACAATGTAATTAATTACCGCGGGCAAGTAAAGGCACCGGCAAGCGCACGGACGTCGGGGAACGTGTGTTTGGGGACTCCCCAGTATAGCTTGGCTGGCACCGTTTTTCCGGGTAAAAATACAATACTAGTGCCAGTGAAAAGCGTGTCCATTTGTAAGAAAACCCATTAAAAGTCCCTAGATACCGTTATCGTGGCAAAGAAAGAGGTAAATAGCTTATTTTCTTGATGAAACATCGGGCCGCTGGCGTCTTTCTAATCCGAGCCGCCATCTTTCTTTGTTTATTTTACACTCTCGGCCCAACTCTCGCGAGACTTGATATCCTTATATCATTAGCGAGGTCAGGTGACGAGGTATCTTACGTACAAGTGAGCTGAGTGGGCGTTTCAAAATGTGTCCAGAATTGTTTCGGGGATTCTGAACTGCAATCGGACTAATTTGGCTAATTTTTGAGGGGAAAATAGAGGAAACAATATTCTAAACAGCCTCAAAGGTGACATTGTTGGCAAAGCTGGTATTTGAAATGAGATTCTCCCTCGTGGCCGGGGCGTGCATTGGCCAGAGGTTTGACAATGTGTGACTAATTTTCTACCCCCAGGAAATCTGTAGTTGACAAACTTGGCCCAAATTTTCTTCACGGGTCACATGAAGCTAACGCTGTGCTAGATTGTTTTGATACAGCTTAACTTTAAAATAGGATAGAAAAGTTTCTTTGAAGGTAAGAGTACATTTGTGTTGAAATTTGTCTTACCAAAATTATGAAGCCATTTTGTTGTCTTGATGATGGTCCTTTTATGTTTTCTACTCTGTTATAGTGAAGGAGGCGTTTAGTTTAATGAATCCTTTATTATGTACATGAGCTTTAATCAATCAATGAAACTACTTCTGACTTACACTTGTATAAGTTGAAAATTGTAAGAAATAGTTCAACATTGTCTCCGAGTTTCATTAGCAGTAAATTGTCAAACATATCACTTGACATAAAATTGCCTAATATTAATAACTTTATTTATTAAGAAATAAAAGATTTCCTTGCTGCAATTAAGAATGCCATAATACACATTGTGCCCGCGCCGCGCTCGCAGTGTGGCCTCGCTGCACTGGGTCCCCCTACGCTGTGAAAAAATCCTGGTGAGAACCCTGAAGTACCAAGGCAATAAGGCCTAACAAAATAAATGTTGTGTTTCCTATTACAGTCCAGAAAAAATTAGGGTCGGTAGGTAGGGATT